TGGTTCTTCAGATATTATCAATAATAAGACCGTATAAACCGAGGTCCCGTGTCGCAGTAGGTGCTGGCACGAAAAAGTCCCTAATTGCTCAATGGCCCTAAGTGCAAAGCATAGGACAAAATTTGAGCTCTCCACCGGCAAGTGGCGGAGTCTCCATATGAGTGAAAAATTCTCGAGAGGGACGTTAAACAACAATCAATCGATAATACCATGAATGTTTACCTTTTGACCTTGGAGTTTGACATACTTTTGAAAATCATTAACCTTAGCCATAACTTTTGAAAAGATAGTGCTAGGACTTTTTTATATTTTTGTGATATCACCTTACCCTAGGTATCATAAATTTTGACCTTGGACTAGGAGTTGACCCACTATTAACAAATATTAATCTTGACCATATCTTTTGAGAAGTTGGAGCAAAGACTTTCATAGTATATTCACTGAGACATTCGGATTGACCGTCACGTTAGCTAAGTCGGTAGAGCGCTTGCTTCGTGTTCGGAAGGTTGTGAGTTCAAATATCGGCCGCGACTGATAAACAAGAGGTCCATGAGCCTTATAGGTCAGCTGAGTATCATGCAATAACTTTCCAGCAATTAAATTTGGTTACGGACGACGCACGACAACGGACGAAAACAGTGACTCAGTGTGACTTAAAAATAGGCAGCAGCTGTTCCTTTGCCATGTGTTCGGAAGAAGAAGACTTTTAAAAAAAACGAGGCCCGACGTTGGCACGGTAACTGCTCAATCGCCGAAAGTGCCGAGTAAAAGTCAAAATTTGAAGCCTTTCATCGATATATGCTGGTGTCTCTTAATCTTAATATTCTCAAATGGGGTATAACACAACTCAATAAATTATAATTGAGACATTAAAGTCTTTTTGGGGTAACAATATGTTTATCTCTTGACCTTGGAGCTTCACTTGTATGAAAAAAAAACTCTTGACCATGTTCATTATGAATGACCGACAGGCACACAATTGTCAGAAAATCGGGAAATGAAAAAATATTTCACATTTACCATATATAGGATTTTGCAAAAGTTTCAAATAACATTTGTTTATATTTATCTATTTCTTTCCAGTTATTGTTTTTAAGACACCCAATTAACCCACAAAAGCTTCTAAGTCAAATGTCGACGCTAATTTCTAAAATTTATTCCTTATTTTTCGACATTTTTATTCCATTGCTTGATCAAGGTTTCAAAATGAAGACTATGTTTTCCTATGAAATATTGACCAATGTACACAAACTAGATATCTGTCTTTATCAAGCCTTTTAATAATGCATTAACATATCCAATGTCAGCAATCCTCTGATATTATCGTCATTTTCAATCATATATTGACAATTGTAGAATCATTACATTTCTACTGGTCTTTGTATATTTCATGGGTAAGTTTCCATCTCTCACCAGAGGGCACATTATGCTTCGCTTTTAGTCTGGGTAGAGATTGGGTAACGTTATTATCAACAATCTTCCAACGTATACAACTAATGAATGTGAGACATTCATGATAAAGACGTTCGTCAACGAATAATATCTCGACGAAAGCAAAGTTTCTTTATATAAATCCGCGAAAATAAAGTAGCAACCGTACCTAAAATGGTTTACTGTCCAAGGTCATGTTTGTGGACACGGTTTAAATAATTTCATTTTCACAATTGTTAGTGGATTTATAGTAAAGTGCAGGATGCCGCGAGAATAGATGTCTTTTTCATAATTGCTGTTGTTTCAGGCACTTTTCGAACAACCTTTTAAAAATTCTGAACTTTAATTCCAAATCAAAATAGTTATCGATGGGGCATGAACCCTCAACATTAATCCTAAATTTTATTTACTGCCACATCTTTTAAGGAAGTTTAAATAAGATATATAAACTTGAATCGGACCATACTGTTTAAACCAGAGAATATATCCGAATGTTTAGCGTAAGGGTGAACGTTCGCGTATAGGTGATGCTCCATTCTCCAAACAGAATTGTCGACATGCTGTATGCTAGAAAAATCAGCAAGTCAGCCATGCCAATGAGCAAATGATCGAAGTATAACCTTTAAGTAATAAACTTGATCTGTTTATCTCAGGGCTAGGGGTGACATTTTAAAAGTTTTCAGGTGCTATTCGTTAATTTGTTAAGATTATCTGAAAAATGCATAAACAACTAGCTTATAAATTTTTATGATGCCATGGCGGATATTTGTCGTCTAATGAAATCGACGGGTTCCTGAAATATGTCTGTTTTGTAATTGATGCAGAGGAGTATACAAGATTTCAAGATAAACAAAAACCATGCACAAAATAAAAATTGACAGAGCATTTATAACCAAAGCACACAATATGTTTCTGATTTTTATAGAACACAGAAGCGTGTTACCGTTGCATAAAACTGGAAAATTGAAGCTGAACCCGGTAGAGTCCCAGAAGGAAATCTATCGATTTAATGAAGCAAGAGGAGATAGGAAGATCAAATGTGGAAGGATGTCTACATCAGCTTTATCCGCCATATTAAATCCTCAAATGCAGCACTGTTTTATACAGCAACCATCTTAATCCCTCAAAACACCAAACAAGGTCCAGATATACCCTCTTCAGATTTTAGAACATTAACAATTTGCGGGTGATATACATGTTCATGTATTTTATATTAAACAGTGGTCATGAAAATCTTAATAATAAGACCCTCTTGTACACATTATGCTTCCGATTAATGGTTTCTTTCCCTGTCTTTGTTATCGGACACATAGTTCTATTTTCATGGCACTAGTTTTATAACTGATTTAATTTAATCTTCGAGTCTGCGAAGAAAAAGCAGCAATATCTTAAGGCCTTGAAAAATTGGATTGAATTATTGGACTGGTTAAGTGTCCTTTTCCTAATTAGTTATGTTCATCGAAGCCAATGTAGACAAGACGATCTAAATTTATGGAGGGGAAGTACAGTGAATGGACATTCATCCATCTTATGTCAACAGATATTGAAATCAATAAAATAGGGTAACTATTCTGAGATAGAATGTCGTCATAACCTTGAGATTTTTGTACATGTATTTTTTAATCAAACGCGAGGAAAAGGAAAATTTTTGAGAGTATCAAACTGAACAAATTAGTCTGTAATTTAATATAAACGACAGACACCTTGAGAGAAGAGCTTTTAACAGTCTAAAAATGTTCCATGTTGCCATGCATACGAAAGGAAACGGGAAACTTTTATCAGGTTTGGTTTCATTGTCAACATATTGCTCAAATAGTCCCCAAAATTGGTCGATATACGAAACTGTTCACTGACTTAGGCCGTGGAGAAGAATTGGTTTACTAATGACTGCTATCCCTGACAAACAAGAATCAATATCTCGTATTGTTCTTTCCAGTTACAAGAATGATAACTCGAACACTGTCTGCAGCATCAGCAACAGAACATTCACAAGGTAGGCAACCCGAAATACTGAATCAAACAAGATGTGTTTGTGAAACACTGATGCCCCCGTATGGCAACATAGCAAAGATTAAACTTTTCTTAAATGCGCAAATTTAATGGTACCAAAAGTAGGGTATTCTCACTGGAAAACGATTGTAAAATTTGAAAATATGCCAGTGTTAAAGTTTTTTTAATCAGTGCAAAATCTCCAAGGTCAAGGTCAAAGGGTCAAGGTAATTGGTATCCAATGGAAGATCTTGACAAATAGAATACTTATGTAGAGTATGGAAGCCTTAGCCCTAACTGTTCAGAAGTTATGGCCAATGTTAAAAATTTTTTTTTGAAGTAGGTCAAACTCTAAGGTCAAGGTCAAAGGGTCAAATTTCTTGTTAGCAAATGAAAGGTCTTGTCACAAGGATGAAATATGTAAAGTATGAGAGCATTAGCCTTAACCCTTTAAAATTTATGGTCAAGGTTTGCTTTTTTAAAGTAGGTCAAACTCAAAGGTCAAGGTCAAAGGGTAAAAGTGCTTGGTATCCAATGAAGGATCTTCTCACAAGGATTACATATATAAAATATGAAAGCCCTATATCTTACCGTTCAAAAGTTATGGCCAAGGTTAAAGTTTTTTTCACAAGTACAGAAATCTACAAGGTCAAGGTCAAAGGGTCAAAATTGTTGGTATCCAATGAAAGGTCTTTCAACAAATAATACATATGTGAAGTATAAATGTCCTGGTATCTACTGTTCAAAAGATATGGCCAAAGTAAAAGTTTAAAATTTTCATGTAAAAGTGGTTCAAACTCCAAGGTCAAGGTCAAAAGGTCAAATTTGGTGGTACCCAAAGAAAGGTCTTGTCACAAGGAATACACATATGAAATATGAAAGTCATAACTCAACTAAATCAAAAGTTATGGGCAAGGTTAAAGTTTTTGCGGACAAACAGAGAGACAGACAGAGAGACAGAGAGACGGACGGACACGACAAAAACTATATACCCCCGATACTTCGTTTACGGGGGCATAAAAAGAAAATATTTCTTCTCCGTCCCATCGACTTCGAGATAATGAGGTTTTGACTACACGAGGACTTCTTCGATGAAATCATAAAAGAATACTACTATTGAAGAATAAAACTTTTGTTGCCTTTCTTGAGTGCGCGACTCCTTTACATAATAGGAGTCTAAACGAATTCAAAAACGGTTAAATTATCTTTAAAATTGAAATTCTTTTCTTGCATGTTGACATAATTTATCTTTATATAACTTTTTTTTATTACTGAATCGTAAAATTTGACAAATAGTTTACATCCAAAAGACTTTTTTGTAACATTTCAGAGTACTAACAAGATTGCCAAACTTTTAAACACTCTTCATCAGCTTTTTTAAGACCTATTAAATGCGTTTTGCAGCAAATCGCATTTTTTTCGTATTTTTTGTTGGTGCATGGACTTCATTTTCGTTGTCTTTGTCAGTTTCACTTTCTTAATTTCGGTAACCCCCTTTTTGAATTCGTCTAGACTGTTAAATTATTATATTTGCTCACTTTTTTGTACGTGACCTTTTGGTATATGTGTTCAATAAATACTTACTCGGGGTAGTTTCTGACTGTCTTGAGTCTTGTTTGTAATATGGCACAAGTTCGGTAATCTGACGTGTCCACGGCGCGCCGCCGAGTGGGCGGAAGTCGGGGTTTGTTTTCATCCTCCTCATTAACCTGCTCCAGGTGTGAGAACATGGACGGGGAGGCGGCAGGAGTGGCTAGGGAGGCGCGGCGGCGCTGGGACAGGTGGCGACTTCCGGTGGCTCCTATCATGTTTTGAGCCTTGTAGCGAAGCCTACAGTTTGCTGCAAAATAATAATAGAATATTAATATCATTAACTGTTGTTAACATTTAACTTTATGCAAAATAAGAACAATATATAAATTCAAATTTTAATTTCATAAATGTGATAAACGTTTTTTAGCATTAGAATAAATTTAATCCATGTTGTTTTATACACGTATTATTTCATTTTGTAACTTTGCATATATACATTTGAAATTTATATTCAAAACCATCGGCGATCAGTGTATTGCTTAATGGACCTTGAAAAATCATAATTTCTTAATCTTATCATGTTACTACGTGCATTCATGCACCATGATGCATGAATGCTCTGCTTCTTTCTTTGTTCATTCATTGGCTTTAAAAGTACAATAACGGAGCGATTGGATGATTTATGTTACAAGTTCACTTTCTCAACTTTCAGGTCAAACAATATGGGTAAGGAAGAAAAAAAATGCATAAGAAAAATATGAAACCAAATACAAAACGGTATACATATATAGTTTATAACCATTTCCTTAGAAAATCAAATTGAAGCTACTGAGTTTTACCACGATGCTTAAAGTATAAGCGTCTCTCTTCCTTTGTCATGTTTTTCAGCTTTTTAGTTTTCTTTCGTTTAGGTGGTTGTCGTTGTTTGAAAGGATCGTGGCGATGGTGGTGATCATCATGAAGGGATTTAGGGTTGGAAAAACTCATTTCTGCATCATTATTTAAAAGTGAACTCAGTCTGTATGTCAGTTTCTTTGACTGAATTCGTTTAAAAATATTTAGCCAGGATATTTTTCTTGCCCCGTGAGGTTGTGACGGGTTCAGTTTTTTGGCAAGTCCAGGTTCTGTTTTTAGATATCTCTTTCCGTTCATTTCATCACTTCGTCTATTGGCTTGTTGGGAACTAGCAGGGGTTGGTACAGACGATTCTGTAGAAGTGTCATCTGCGTATTCCCTCAACCATTGCTCAGCCTTTCGTCTTGAAGATTCTCTCTCTTCATTGTCGATGTACAATGTGACATCATTGTCTTCTACAATTTCATCGTCATCGTCGGAGCTTTCATCGTAACCTAAATTTGGGAACCCTTTGCTAGCTAATTCGGATTTGTCTTGATCTGTGATATTTTCAGCAGACGATTTCGAAAGAAATGATGCCTTAGATAAATACTCTCCTTTCCTTTGACGCTTCTTTTGCTGTTCCAGGTTGTGAAGCTTTTTCAGAAACACAGACCGCGATCCACTTTTCTGTGCCATTTTGTTATTAGTTGCGGAACACCCTGTACAAAGTACTTGTAAAATTCCAGAGAATATGAAATACAAGAACTTCCTATTGAATTATATCACAAGATCTGCTGTCACGCTGTAGTGGACACAGTTTACACCTAGCAGTTATTCCAGTTCGTACAGAAGATGTACTTCACTTTCCGTAGTTTGTCCTAGTAGTTTTATCACCAAAAGAAAATAAATGTCCGTTTCCTCTCATAATCGTGTTCTATTATAATGAGAACATTCCCGCGGTCTTTAAAAACTCAAATACTCCTTTGAATTGAGGGACAATGTAGAATTTTTTAAAGGACAGTTTGTTATTGAATACTATTAATCTCTCACGAGTTAGCTCTTTTAAAGAGACAACATACAATACACACAAAGTAACAACATGTATTTAAATCTCGGTCAAACCTGGTCGGAACACTTTCAAAACTTTTAAAGTACCAGTGCAGTTCAATTTTTTGTTTGCTAAAATAGGAAACTACATGTATCTATTCATTATATCATTTAATAAACTTTTATTGACTCTCTTTAAGGCCCATGTATATATTTCTAAGTCTCATTTCGCAATGAATTCGTAGTTTAAAATCATCAGGGCACACAATAGAGATTGCTCGCAAACATGCACAGGTGGGATTTAATTTCTCTCGTACATTTAGAATTTTTTTCAGTATTAACAGAAAACCGAAGCATCTGAACACATGTATTTGAAATTCATCTAAAGAAACCTTTTGAAGGTGAAGAACACGTCTGGATACAGTATACAACATTTTTCCCCAAAACCCCCTTTTCTTTTTTTCCCCTAAATTTATTGAAATTTCGCCTCTAATTTTTTCAAAGTTCAGACTATTTTTCTTACATCCATTTAAGCGACAAAACCCAAAAATCACTCATACTCATGTATTTAGTCTATGACGGGACCCGCGGATGTTTAAACATTTAATCAGAACTTCCAAGCGATCTGATTTTAGTATTTTTCTCAAGAATTCATGGTTAGGAAAAGTCTTTGATACTATACTGTTTCATTCCGTAATTTCATTTTTGTCCTTGTTAACAGATAAATAGGCAGACTGAAGCATTTTTTTTTTATATAAAAGATATAAAAGCACGATTCAGACATGACATTCAAATAAACACCCATCCGTAAAATACGGATTAAAAATGTTAAATGTATTTGTTATGAAAATATTTTACAGGGCTTATAGGAGCTGTATATTCAACTATGCAGAAAATAACATAATACAGATAGTGGGATAATCCGATTAAATGATAAAAAAAATTAACCGTATTTGGTCATCAGTTTTTTCGCTATGACATAGTTTACTTGAAAAAAAAATTTAAATATTATTTTTGTTTATCTTTCACTCAACAGCTTTGGACTTGCATTTTATTTGTTTCTAGTAGTTGGCATTAGCCGAAAAGTGAATTTTCCATCAAAAGGGGGATATATATAAAACCTCTTAGAATTATCAAACAGACCAGTGTGATATACCTTAGATTGCATATAATAATGTTTACTTTAAAAAAGGGAAAATCAACAAACAAACAAAAAAAATTAATAAAAAGATTAAACAAAATGAAAATAAATAACAAGTTTGGCTTTCCAGAAAGCCTGAAATGTCATCTCTTTGGCTTCATTAATGTCACAGAATAAAAAGTAGAGTGTAATTTTTTCTCAACTATTACAGATTTTTCTATTCTTCTGGGGAACTAATTGAACTTTTTTTACATTCAAAAAGGACAGTGATCAAAACATATGCTGTTGAGAAGGGAATATTTTGATTTTTTTTCGTGATTCAAAACAAATTCATTTTGTTAAGTACATGACTGTATTTTGAACAAAAAGTGTGGATAAGGGAAGGCATTGAACAATTACAATTAAAAATTAAAAGGGCTGGTTACAGACTTGTAGATCTGATTTTCTAAAATTGTTTAAATAATATCACGATTAATATGTTGCTATAGCATTTTACACTGCATGAAATATACTAAAATAATATTTCAAAGTCTCATTACAGTAAATTCAAAACTCATAGTTTTTGACATATATCCAAGCACTTTCACAAGGAATATATCCATGATAGCCGATAACTCTTTATGACAAAAGTGTGCATTATCCCAATACATTTGTCAAAAAAGTTTTTGTGCAATTTTGCCCAGTAAGCCATGCTATAATTGAATTTTACATCGCATTTCCATTTCCTTTTAATAATCATAAATTTATTTTTAATGTAAAAAAAATGTTTATGTCCCAACGCAGTATTTGTAAAAGTTCATTTTTCCTTTTACGTTAAAAAATATTTGATTTGTTATCCAGTACTCTGACAGCGGACAAAGCGTTAATTTAATTATAATCAACTCCAAACCCTTTCCAAACATTTCAATTTAACTAAATTTCCATTCCTTAAAGTGATATACCCCTTTGGTTTTAAAGGAGAGTTACATCAAATAGTTTAATTCAAAATCGACTTTTAACAGCACTGGAAAAAACACAGTTTTCTTTTTTGTCCAAAAATATATATTTAATTAAATCATTTTTTTGCATGTATGAACACATGCTGTTTGACGTAATAACATTTTTAAAAATGCTATCAGCTAAAATCAAGCAGTTACAAATTATCAGAGAAAATATTCCTTTAAATTCAATTATATATGCAGTATTCACATGCAGTGGTATATTTTTTTGTGTTTTAGTAAACTTTATCTGCATTCTAAACATGTAAACTATTATGTATTATAATTTGGTCTTCATTTCAATAATATAGGAGGGGTGAATTAAAGATGTTTTTAACATTTATGCAATTAAAACTGCATAAAGAAAATGATTGCAAGTTCTTTAATCATGATAAATCCTTAAAAAGAATAGATAATACATGCAAGAAAATACCATAAGGTTCCGTGTCGCATTCAATGTGCTGTAGTTTTTTTTATAGAAATTAATGTATCCGCTTATAACTTGTGCTTTTAATTTCTCAATGAATTTGATTTTATATTCAAACTTGTATTATTTTAAAAAAAAAATGCCGAGAATGACTAAATGACAAAATTTGAAGCTCTCCATCCGTAATGCGAAGTGAATGTGGCGTATCCATATGAGTGAAAAAATTACACACGCGCTGACCTAGGGACGTTAAGTTCTGGTCATCAAGGTAATAGCAATCAATCTTTACATTTTTTTTTTTTGCTATTGTGTGTGTGTAAAAAACATATTGTGATAGTTTCTTGGGACACGAGTACATCAGGGTACGTGAAGATGTGAATAGAAAAAATACTATCACATATACTAGTATTTGAGAGGAAAATTATTATATTTTTTCCTTGGCTTTCCTCAAATAGGCCTGAATATTTTTTTCACACCAAAATTTCTTTAAAAGAAAACCAGTTTACAGGCTAAACTCCTTGTGTAGATTCATCACGAGATGCTAAAATGTTCTGAAAAATTTTTAAAGCAGATAGTTTATAGTATCTGGGCATGACAATACTTCTAGAAGCCGATTTCTCTGTGGTTTTCTCTTTGCATTGCATTATACAGTAAAAGTGATTAATTTCCTTTTTTACATTCACTCATGTAGTTATTCAATAACATATGATTTATTTTTATTCGTGATTCACTGCACATGCAATGTATGTAAATGCTGAACAGTAGAAAGTTCATTTTTTCTTTTAGTAAAAAATATTTGATTTGTAATAGAAAATTTAATAATCATATAAACAGCCAAGTATTTTCAGTCTAAGCTTAGTGATATGTGCAAAGTTAAAAATGAACACAGCGAAAAAACCGTAAAAATAACGACACTTTTGTGATGAACACAGATGTTTTGACGTGATGTAAAGAAAAAAGTCGTCATTGAATTCTAAAAATATTCCTTTAAATTCAATTATATTTTGTTGCACATGCAATGTATGTAAATGCTGAATTTTGCAGTTTGTAGAAAAGAAACATACATTAATTAAATTCAACTTTCAGATACAAGTACATATTACGTGAATTACTGTCATCTTTTAAGGAGCTTCGACACAAATCTTAAGTTAAATTTTCTAAAATATTCATTACAGCATCATAACTCATATTTTGCTAGAACATTTCATGCCGGAATATATCAGCGCCGTGTTTAGAAACTTCTTATTGGCAATCACTAAAACTGCGATTTTCGGGACGCGTTTGATTGACACATATCCTTGCACTTTCACGAATTAAACTTTATTATTAATTCTTCAGAACAGTAGAAAGTTCATTTTTTCTTTTAGTAAAAAATATTTGATTTGTTATCCAGAAAATTTAAGGAAGAAATTTAAGAAAACAGCCAAGTATTTTCAGTCTAAGCTTAGTGATATGTGCAGAGTTAACAAAGTGAACTCACCCGAAAAAACCGTAAAAATAACAGAGCTCATTCCCTGTGTATGAACACAGATGTTTGACGTGATGTAAAGAAAAAAGTCGTCATTGAATTCTAAAAATATTCCTTTAAATTCAATTATATCTTGTTGCCCGCGTGGTGCAGTGGTTAGAGCGTCTGCTATAGAAATGCGAAGTAAGGAGTTGATCCTTCCGTCGCGGGTTCAAATCCCACCGTGGGACGTGGATACAGGTCTTTCGGATGAGACCGTATAAACCGAGGTCCCGTGTCGCAGTAGGTGCTGACACGGAAAGGATCCCTCCCTGCTCGATAACCCTGAGTGCCGAGTGTAGGACAAAATTTGCAGCTCTCCACCGGCAAGTGGTGGCGTCTCCATATGAGTGAAAAAATTCTCGAGAGGGACGTTAAACAATATGCAATCAATCATTTTTTTTTTTTGCAACGTATGTGTGTAAAAAACATATTGTGATAGTTTCTTGGGACACGAGTACATCAGGGTACGTGAAGATGTGAATAGAAAAAACACTTTTTACTATATTTAAGAGGAAAATTATTATAGTCGGTATGAATATTTTTTTTTTACCAAAATTTCTTTGGATTACAGAAAAGCCAGCTGCAGTTCATCACGGATGCTAAGATGTTCTGTTTTTAAAGCAGATAGTTTATAGTATGGGCATCATACTTCTCACTGTTCTGTGGTTTTCTCTTTGCATTGCATTATGGGAAGTAGTGATTAAGCTGCCACCGTAAGATATAGTCCTAGTCATTCAGGGGTCATTTTGTTGGAGCTGATAGATCGTTTTTGGTTAAAACACCCATTTAATAGCAATTTAATAATCATATAAAAGTTATACCTCGCACTAGATTGTAAATAAAATGCTAGCGTAATGAGAGGAAACGACACTTTTGTGAAATCG